GAGGGGAGCAGCGGGCGGGTCAGGAGAGGTCTGCCACACCATGTGGTCACCTCCGGGGCAGGCGGGAATTGAACTCATGAGGAAGCGGCTTTAGATTCTCAGTGCTGTGCTTTAACCCGCTGAGCCACCAGGGAGGGCCGGAATGCAGTTTTTAAAATTTCTTGATAATAGATTGATAGTTTTTTAAGTCAGCGTGAAAGGGAAATCAACATACAATAAAGGCACATTAATTTAGCTTATGATTCCATGAGTTTTGATAACCAAAAACGAGTACAATTCGTTACCCATCAAAACACAGAATATTTCCATCACACTGAAAGAATTTTACAATCACTTGTTCAGCTTTAACATGATTTGTTTTTCAGGGACTTTGCTCATTTAATTTTAGTAGCATGTCATTGCAATAAATTACACTAATTTTGAAGATACGTGAAAAGGCTGATGAGGGTAATTAAAGTATCGTAGGGACTTCCATTGTGATTTATTACAATGTAACATCATAGTATCTTCAGAACTTGTCATTAGTTAAATCAATTCAAATTTTTAGTTTTAGTTTATTTCACCAAAGAAACAAAACATCCAGGACTAAAACTGAACAGTTAGGTTGTACTTTTCAGCTTCAGAATTTCCAAGGTGATAAAATTTTTTATTTTATTTTAAATATTTTTATTTATTTGTGCATACAGAAATGGGGTAAAAGCCAGAGGTACAGTGGTGGTGAGAGGATTCACCAGAGGCAGAGTGGGGAGCAGAACAGGCAGATCGAGGAAGTGTACTGCTGAGGGGAGCAGCGGGCAGGTAAGCAGAGGCCTGCCCTGCCATGTGGATCACCTGTGGAGCTGGGGTTTGAACTCACACTGAAGCAGCTGCAGCTAGCTTGCAGTACTGCGTCCCTACCTGTTGTGCCACCAGAGAGGGCCGATAAAATTTTTTAATTAGTAAAATGAGTAAGTTTTTGGTAGATCAGTTTTAAAGTAATTTGAGTATTTTGAGAGAATTGGTAAAATTAATTATAAAACCTATTACAAGTATTTCCAAAATGAAGTTTGCATGCTTACCACGTTTATCAAATTTGTGTTTGATTTTGATTATACTGGGAGTATAATAGGAATGTAATATTCATCTGTTCAGTTACACTTTATTTAAGAGCTTAAGAATTAAATATTTGGGCCCTTCCTGGTGGCGCAAAGGGTAAGGATGGAGCATTGACCGCAGCCACTTCAGTGCAAGTTTGATCCCCAGTTCCGGAGGTTACCCACATGGGGTGGCAGACCTCTCCTGACCTGCCAGCTGCTCCCCTCAGCAGTGTATTTTGCCATTCTGCCTGTTCTGCTCTCCACTCTGTCTCTGGCAAATCCTCTCACTGCCCATATAACTCTAACTTGTACCCCCGTTGTGTATGCATAGATAAATAAATCTTTAAAAAAAATTTTTTTAAGTATTTTTTTCAGTATCTGGAAAAGTGCATATTGCTTCACATAACTTCAGTATTATTACTTTTAATTATGACCTAGAGGCCAGTAATAAATCATACTTTAAAAATAAATCTTAAAGACTATAAGTGTTTGATAAACCCTGTCATAATACTAGTTTGCTTTCAAAGTTGTAAAAATACTTGCTTTATGATAACACATTCAGTGCCTGCCATAAACTCTGATATTTAGACAGGACTTACTATTAATAGACTACAGATGATTTCTTTGGGATGCCACATGCGAAATTCTTTGCAGTTTCATGTGATATTTGTTTTTTGCCTTAATAGTCATTATCAACAAATTACTAATTTATGTAGGTGAAATCATATCCATTGTGGTTTTAAAAGTTACATTAAGATTTAAAGTACAACAGAAGACCAGTGAGAAATGATCTTGGTATCTGAATATAAGTAGACTTATATCTGAATATAAGTAGACTTGTCAATTTTAGTTTAAATTTTAGAAGAGAAAGTAGTTCCATATTTGATATGGAAATAATGGAAATAAGTTTTTTTTTATGTCGAGCACTTTTAATGAATGAAATGGATTGTAAAGAATTCTTTCTACATGTTTCTTCCTGAAATTATGCCCACCCACTTGCCTTTTAATTGTGTACTAGAAGTATGTTTTTGTGAGTTCCTGTGTCATTAAAAGGACTGTTGGACATTTCAAATACTAACTTCAGTTACTTGTATTATTTTTTCCCTTTAGGAGGAGCATATTATTTAATATCGAGAAGTCTAGGGCCGGAATTTGGTGGTGCAATTGGCCTTATCTTCGCTTTTGCCAATGCTGTTGCAGTTGCTATGTATGTGGTCGGATTTGCAGAAACTGTGGTGGAGTTGCTAAAGGTAACTGACCTTTTCTTATACCCATATGTGTACACATTTTTATCAAATGTTTATGTGTACCACATTTTTATCAAATGTTTTTGTGCCACTCTATATACTAGATACTAATGTAGGAACAATGAACTCAAAATTTATCCTTCATAGTTAAGAAATAGTACAGAATGCCAGAAAAGGGTTACAGAAGGAGGCCTTAGAAACATGAAGTGGGGGTTACTTTACACAGGAATGGGAGTAGCAGAGGAGTATTAAGAAAAATTTTGAAGGAATGGTGTCAGGACATTAGCAGGCAAAAAAAAAGTAGGTAATACAGAGTGTGGTATGAGGGGATAGGAAAAAAAGATTCAGAAGATGTAGGCTAAAATCTGTTTTTGTTTTGTTTACTTTTAAAAACAAACTAGAAATATGACAATATGATTGGAGCACAAAGTGGCAAAAGATTTAAGACTAAAGAGATAAAAAGGATAAAGTGTGGAAGGATCTTGTTGAGTATTAAGTGTATGTCTTGTCTTGATTGTATTTGGGGAACATGACTTGATCAGATTTGGGATCTAAAGAAATATCTGACCACACTCTAGAGAGTGGATTTGATGAATCACAGAAGAGATGAGAAAGCAATAAAAAAGGTTGTTTTAGCTATCCTGAGATATTACTTATCTTAAGACAATGACCAGTGGGGCTGGAGAGATTTCAGTGAAATTGAGATTTTTTTTTTCAAAGTTAGTTATTAAGTGGAATTGATGAGTAATGGGGTTTGGAAAATTAGAGAAAGAGAAAGCAGTATTTCAATTTAATGTAGAGATTTCTGACTTGAGGGTTTAGATGGAAGCTGTTGTCATTCACTCTGAAACATTTTAATTTTGGATGTCTTATCTGAGGAACTAGAGATAAATCTGTATATGCTGGCCATAAAGTTGACAGTGCTGTTCTGGAGTTCCAAAGAGGGCTTATTTGAAAAGAGCCATTGGAGATGTGTTAAATCAGTAGAAGTGAAATAGGATTAACGGTTATTAAATGAGAGAAAACCTGCAGTTATTCCTTAGATTAGGGTTTGTTTTTTTTTTTAAGATTTATTTATGCATACAGAATTGGGGTATAAGCCAGAGGTGCAGGGGATGAGAGGATTCATCAGAGACAGAGTGGGGAGCAGAACAGGCAGACTGACTGAAATACACTGCTGAGGGGAGCAGTGGCAGGTAGGAGAGGTCTGTTGTGCCATGTGGGTCACCTCCCTGTCAGAGATTGAACTCTTGCTGCAGTGGCGGCGATAGTGTCATAGTGCTGGATTTTAACACGCTGCACCAGTTGTTCCTCCACCATAGTATTTGCTGTATTAGGAAGTGTAATATAGAAAAAGGATTTGACAGTACTTAATTGGCACTGACCTTACTGTGTAGGCCAGAGGAATGGAGAAAAGTGAATTAATAAGCAAACATAATCACTCAGAATTCATATTTTATTGTTTACTTGTTTTTATGGTCATTGATATTAAACTATAAAAAATGTTGTTCATAAAATCTAGCAGTGTGATTTTGGGACAACTATATGAAAGTGTGTTTTTTTTCTTCCTTTGTAACATAAACGCATTAAAAGCAGGAGCTCCATAATATGAGTTCAAGATATATTTCTGCTATGTAATTTTTAAAAATCCTAACACTTTTTATGATATGACTGAATACTACTATGATTTTTATTTTTGCTTTTTAGCAATCTTTATTTGGTCTTACTGAGGTGTAGTACAAATAATTTGATCCTTTTTTTAATTAGTTAATTTTTACATCATTTTGTGCCTTTTTTTACCTCAGTTGTAATCCTCGTGGGCTTCCCACCACAGGTTCACCCACGTGCCATCACTATAGTCCTGTGCACCTTTCCCATCCCATTTTTGATCCCATTCCCCACTCTACCCTTGTAAAATGTCTCTAGTACATAGTTGTTAGTTTTCTTTTGTTTTTTTCCTTTATTTCAGTTGCTTTGTATTTTTCCCCCTGCTATGCAACAATCAAAAAAGATAAACTCATGCCTTTTGCAGCAACACGGATGGAGCTGAAAGGGATCATGCTTAGTGAAATAGGCCAGAAAGAAAAAGAAAAAATACCTGATAGTTTCATTCATAGCAGGAGCATAAAGGATCGGGAGGAAAAAAAATAAAACGCAATTGATCATTATTTTTTATGTCATGAGCTACTTCAGTAATACCTACTAAATAAGTTTTTCCTTTGGTTCTCTTATTTATTCATTAAATAAACATTCAGTCTGTGTGTAAGCCACTACGATACAATAATATTAGTTTATCTTAAGTAACTATTACTGCTCACATTTATAATTATTTTTCTAGGAACATTCCATACTTATGATTGATGAAATCAATGATATCCGAATTATTGGAGCTATTACAGTGGTGGTCCTTTTAGGGATATCAGTAGCTGGAATGGAGTGGGAGGCAAAAGTAAGTAATGATAGTACTATAATCTGTAAATATTTAACATACAAACTTTTAGAAGTTATGTTTTAGGAATGCTCTAAGTTGTGATAATACTATTAGATTTCAAAGATTTCCCAGGTGACCATTTTCAGAGTAGTTTACATGGTTATTTATTTTCTGACAACAAGAAATGTGTAGCGTTAGTAATAAATCTAGGATACAGCTAAATATAGTAATTTTTAAATTTTAACTTAATTTAAATTAAGTTAAATTTACTTAACACTTTCCCTCCCACCCCAATCTTCATTTGCAGTATGTAGAAATGCTAGGTTATATTTATGTTGCTCATATTAAGCTATTGGTTTTGTGATTTATTTTAAAATTCCATATGAAATAAATACAGGGACAGAAAGCTTCAAGTTCATGTGCATGAAAAGTTAGAGAAACTAACCTTAGTTCCTTGCTCTTGAAATATCAGGAGTCATGGTTACCAAAGTCATTACCATCGTTTCTGGGGAAAATGCTGAAATGTCACATGTTAACCTATATGTTCTTCTGTCTTTGAGAGAATATGCCACAGCATAATTCTAGTTTCCTAAGTAATCGATAGCCAGAAAAATAATGTTTAGGACTTTAAATTTCTGAGTTTCTTCATGTTTACTTCAGAAATTACATAAAGTCTCATTTGTGGTAGATATAAATTATGAAAAATACCAGATCACTATATTAGGAAAGTCTGGAACATTTTTTTTTTCTATCAATGATACAAGAATTGGGGTGTAGGCCAGCAGTGCATGGGTAGAGACAGACTAGGAACAGAACAGGAGGATCTACTGAAACACACTGCTGAGGAGAGCAGCAGGCCAGACAGGAAAGGTCTGCTGTGCCATGTTTGTTAGCTCCCTGAGGCCATTTATGCTGCAGTGGCTGGTGAGAGCTTGATAGCACTGAGACCCTTGTGCCACCAGGGGAGCCCTCCAAAGTTATTTGCTAGTATAAAATTCAGTCATTTTTTTACACATTTAATACAATGACTTTATTAAAAAGGACAGAATTTCATACTACCTGTACATGATTTGTATATAAGTAATACTTGTTTCCATGGATGATACAATCTTTCATGGTCTCTACTCAATTTTATTATGAGATTAAGATTATTGGAAGAGTGATGGTAAGTCTTATGTTACCTTTCCCAGTCTCATTGCTACTTGAATTCCTTTCTTGGGTGTTATTCTCGTCTCTTCATATTTTTTCTTTCTTTCAAAAGTCAAACCGTTGTGTTTGGAATTGATGTACACATATATTTGTAGCAGATAAGCTCTCCATTGTAAGATTTTACTGGCATTGCAGAGGGAGGGGATTGGAAATGATACAGGGTAAAGAGCCTGCAGTGCTTGGGAGCATAAAATACTTTATGATTTGTGGTAGGGCTTACAAGTCTTTAATTCATATTAGAAATACCTGTCATGATTTTACTTGTGCTATTATTCATTTTTCCCCAGTTAACTGGCAAGTGGATATATGATAACTTGGTAGTTTACTGTTCCTCTGTTTATTTTAATATTGAATATTCTATAGTAGTTTTGTTTTGTTTTTTAAAGATTGCTCATTTATTTAACAAAAATTTGTTACATGTGCTTTGACACTGTTGGGGGAACTGGGTAAACCAGACTGAAATCTTTCCCTTTATGGAGGTCATATTTTACTGGAACTGAATCAGTGGACATACCTGAGATATTTGAAACTGATTTTATTGTTTAAAATTCCAGGCTCAGATTGTTCTTTTGGTGATTCTACTATTAGCTATTGCTGATTTCATCATAGGAACATTTATCCCATTGGAGAGCAAGAAGGCCAAAGGTTTCTTTGGTTATAAATGTGAGTAAACAAAATATACATTATCTTTACATATCATGTAACATTCTGTTACTAAATATATTTAGTATATTTTGTGATGTAGTTGAGTTTCCCTTAATTTTGTTTTCGTTATATATGTTTTATGATTGGAGTAAAAGATTATTTTAATACTTCAATTTTCATCAAAGCAACAAAATGTGACATCGGAAATATCGAGGATGGGTGGTTCTTTACTAATCTGAGGAGGTTTTAGCTGAAATTGTAATTTCTGTTGTAACATGGCTTCATTATTTGATATTTATTTTATATGTAAATATGTGAGATTGAAAGCGAATAGAAATACTAGTTTCTTGGAGCAGTTGCTACTTAGTTTTTCTACAGTTAATATTATTTTGTAAGAACTTCCCATAGTTTTCACTTTTTTTATTATTTTACTTTTTAAAGATGCATTTACTTAGGCATACAAGAACTGCGGTATAGGTCAAAAGTGTGAGAGAATTCACCAGAGACAGTGAGGAGCAGAACAGGCAGACTAAGTACACTGCTGAGGGGCTTAGCATGTGGGCGGGTCAGAAGAGGTCTGCTGTGTCCTGTGGATCACCTCCTGGGCTGGGGTTCCAATGTGCGCACATTGAATTGGCTGTGGCTCCCTTGCAGTGCTGCGATTTAAACCATTGCGCCCCCGGGGGGAGGCCGCTTTCTTTTCTAATGTGAGGTGTGTGTTTGTTTCACCAAAGAGTGGTATTTCTGTGTTTCAGATTACATTTCTTTCAGTTTCTTAAAGCTCTTTGTCCTTTGAGAATCCATTTGACTACCTCATCAAAAAAAAAAACTCACCTATATTCAAGGCTATAAACTTGCTCTAGTAATCTCCATCCTTGAAAATCTTTGTCAGTGGTCCCTTATTCTCCTCCAGTTACCACTTCACTTTCCAGTTTCATAGATACTTGCCCTTTCATAGAGACATTTTCAAGTCTTTATTTCTTGTTTATTTCAAAATGATTTCATACTTAGAATTTGAAAAAATAATACAAGTTCCTTACATCTTTTACCTAGGTTCACTAGTGATAAATGCATTAATATTCTGTCTTTTTGAGGCCAGACATTACATCACTCCATATAAAATGATTATTACTCTGATTGGTAACTCTGAGAACTTGTGACATCTTGCTTGTGAATACTTAGCATGTACCTATTTGGAGAAGAGTAATTCAGGAATTTAACTTGGAACAATACTAATCTAACTTATACTACAGGTACATATTTTTCAAATTGTCCTGTAAAGAGTTTGGTAGAATTTTTTTCTTGCTGTCCCAAGATCCAATCCTTGTCATGTTTTCGATTTAGTTGTCAAATCTTTTCAGTCTCTTAAACTTTTTAAATGGTCCTCTACATAATCTTTAATCTTTTCAAATCTGAAACAGCTCCTTAGTCTTTTCTTTTGTCTTTCATGAAATCAATATTTTTCAAGAAAATGGGCCTTGTTTTTAGAAGGCCCTCCCAATTGGATTTATCCAGTTTGTTTATATAGATTCGTGTTACTCATTTTTGCCATAAACACTGCATGAATGGTGTGTTTTCCTCAGTGCATCAGATAAGGAGATTGACATAATATCAGTTACTTCACCAGGGTGGCAGGGTACCTAAGAGGTTTCTCTATTAAGTGGTTACCATTTCTTTGTTGTTAATTAAGAAGCAACCTATGGAGAAATAATTTGAGAGCCTGTGCTATTTACTCCTCACTATACTTTGACCAGTTGTTTTATTTTATTCACATTTATTCTCATCTGACTTGCCTGCCATACAGTATTTGATTAAATGTGCTCTTCTTAGTCCTTTGTCTCTTAGCAACATAATTAGTTATCCAAGGCTGCCTGACTACTTTCTTTGTTTTAATCACTGTTCCATACCATTAGTATACTACTGAACTCTCTGGTCACTTTCTATTTACTGCTACCGCCATCCTTTCTCTTTCTTCTATCAGCTAAATGCCAGATTTTTACAGACTCTGGTTCTCATGAGTCAAAATGCTAGCAAGAGACTGACAAGTTTCTTTAAACTCTGTTCTTTAAACTACAGAAATTCATGTATATCCATCTGCTTATGTGATATCCAACTGCTTATCTCCTTTCCTCCTTTCCATACTTTTCCATCTCAGTAAGTGGAAGAAATGAAGACCTCAATGTTTCCTACCTGTGGTTTAGTGGACTCTAGGAGGTTTTTCAAATACTGAATGGGTGGATAAAGAAATGCCAGTTACTTGCTGGTTTCAGTGTCAGCGTTGGCTTTTTTAGCATAGATGGAACTAGTAGGACTAGTTGAGGCTTTCAGTATTATGAAACTGGAGAGCATCTTTACTTAGGATACCTTAGCTGCAATTATCGTGAAGCCTGTTGAATGTTCTCAAAAGTTAAATAGCTCACCACTAGGAAATAGGGAAAGCTGTAGATAGTGTAAAATTTAGAAGGAGGAAACAATTATGTTTGCAGATTAGAGTGATAGTCCTTTTGCTTCTTACTTCCTTTCTTGTTTCTTTGACCTCTGGAACTAAAGGCTTTAAGTAAGCCACACTTTGACCTACATCAGACTATTGCTAAGACCTACATCAAGTTAGAGGTGCTTAAAACATAATTAGTAAGGTGCATAAACTAGGAGGCCATGACCTTGAGCAAAGAGGAACATTTATACATGAAACAGGAACTATTCAAGAGTTAACCAGTTACTTTAAATGATGAAATGTCAGGTATCACATATCACTTATTCTTGACCTAATTTATGATCTAGTGTGTTATCCACAAATTGCCAAAAAATATTTTGTTCTCTACAGCTGAAATATTTAATGAGAACTTTGGACCAGATTTTCGAGGAGAGGAGACTTTCTTTTCTGTATTTGCTATCTTTTTTCCTGCTGCAACTGGTATTCTGGCTGGAGCAAATATCTCTGGTGATCTTGCAGTAAGTAAAATATTGTTATCAATCATATATTAAAATGGTACATATTTTTAAAGATAAACTTAAAAAAAATCTTCTTGTCTTCTAGGACCCTCAGTCAGCCATACCCAAAGGAACACTCTTAGCCATTTTAATCACTACGGTGGTTTACATAGGAATTGCAGTATCTGTCGGTAAACAGCCTTACATTTCTTTATATGTGTTTCAGAAATTTCTAAGTATTTCTTTTCATGACATATTTATTTTAAATTCAGGGGATACATATTTTAGTTAAAGGACATCTTAAGGCAAACTGGTGCTAACTTTTTGTAGACTTTACCTAAACCACCAAATTGCTATTCTCTATTTAGTTTTATTAATTACAATAAAGTAGAAAATTGTGGAAAATCTTAATTCTTCAGATTATTGTTGAATAAATGTAATTTTAATATAGAAGTTACCTTATTTTGTGATTGGGTAAAGTTCTCAGTATTTTTGTTTATAATAATTATTTTATATCTTCATGAACACTTGTTTACTGAATATTAAAAGTGTTGACAAAGGAAAAAAAATGATTTTAAGCTCTTTTATTCTCAAATTCATATAATCTTAGAACTTGAATTAGAGTGTTGAATAAGTCTGACACTCTGCCTTTTAGAGGAGGGAATTAAAACTTAATCTATCAAAGGAAGCTGACCCTTTGTAGGTTCTGTAACTAAACCCACAACAAAATTAAGTAACCCAATTTACATAATAATTTGCATACAGCTATTATAAGTTGTCCTATCACAATTTTCATGCAATAATATACTTTACCCAAAACATATTCTTGAAATATAAAGATTATTCTTAATGTCTAAACTTTAAAAGTCAAGATTTCCAGTTATTTATTAAAAATAAATCTTAGTTTAACACCACTGTAAAAAAATCACAGACTCCAAATTCATAGACTATTGAATGTTTCGGTCATAGTTCAATAAGAAAATTTCACTGTAAGTTGTAATATTCAGTGATTTTGGTGGGCGGGAGAAGAGGAAAGTAATAACAGTTTTTGATAATCTGCTAATTTTGAAATTTCTCTAGTTAGAAAAGCTCATAATCAGTATTATGGTGGGCTAGATTTATATTTTAAAAAGGAACGTGTTTCATTTATTTAAAAATATTGTTCATTTATCTTTTGGAAAGACAAAGGAATTATATATATATATATAATTATATAAATATACATATAACTATACATACATAGTTATATATAATCATAATATATTTTTATGTTCTCCTAAATGTACTTTGTCTGTTTATATACTATTACACATAAAATAGTAAAAAAAAAAAAAATTAGTTTTAACTTAAAGAATGCCACAACTGGTTCTGTTTAACATTGAAAAGTAATGTGTTTCAGCAGATTAGCATTTTCAGTTTGTATTTGATAGTCTAATAAAATTACTGACCTTAGCTCAAAGCAATAGAAACATCCACCTCCATATACAATTGTTTTAAAATACCAACATGAAATGGAAAAGCATTTCATAAAAGTGGTGCTACAAAATTAGACAGGAATCTGTTCTCCTCAACCAACTAATGATTTTAGAATTACCTTTATTGAAAAATGGTTTTGTAAACACTGTTCTGAAAGGTAGTTGAGAGGTTTTTAGGAATGAAGAATATAGTTTGTTTAGCTGAAATATCCTATATTTTATACTTAATTACCTGTTTTTTTCAGTTTTTGCTGTAATACTAAATTTTTTACATCACCAATGGGACATAACATTGTTAAAATGCATTAAAAGTAAAAATAGTGACATCAAAGGAATTACAATTTCTGTTCGTTACATGTTATTCCAAATGATGAAATGCTTGGTTCAAGAAAACTTACTGTTTCATTATAGTTTTCACTTAAGGAATAATCTTTTTTTTAAGATTTACTTATTCATTTAGAACTGTGATATAAGTCAGAGGTACAGGGGTGGTGAGAGGACTCACCAGAGACAGAGTGGGGAGCAGAACAGGGAGATCAACAAAGTGCACACTGCTGAGGGGAGCAGCGGGCAGGCCAGAAAAGGTCTGCTACCCCATGTGGATCACCTCCGGGGCTGGGCATCAAACTGGCACTGAAGCCTTGGGGCCCTTGCAGTGCTGGGCTTTTACCCATTGTGCCACCAGGGCAGGGCCTCAAAGGTTAATTTTCTAATGAACCCAGTTACAACCACCACCCAGATTCAAAGTGGTTAATCTTGTTTCTTTTGTGCTCATTCATTACTCCCCATGGGTTAATTTGGCATATTTCAACTATAAAGTCTGTTATATTTTCTGTCATTTGGGAATTTTCAAGTGTTGCTTTTTTTTTTTTTTATTTTCTTAGGACATATTAATCAGATAGATCAGGAAATAATTTGCTAACAAAGTCTTACAACTATATTTACAAGGCTTCAAAATATATCAATACTATGTTCTACTTCAGTTTCTTTTTCACTGCTGAAACATTGGTGATCACAATGATTTTCCAATCCTATTTTAGGTAAAGCTATCTTAATTATAGAGGGTATGTTGTTGTAAGCACATCTATTTGTTGTCAGTACTACAATTTCTTTATGGGTATATATAATTTTGAAATGAATATGAAACCTAGCTATATTATTGTCATTTGTCCTTCAGGTTCTTGTGTTGTTCGAGATGCAACTGGGAGCGTTAATGACACTATAATAACAGAGCTAACAAACTGTACTTCTGCAGCCTGCAAATTAAACTTTGACTTTTCTTACTGTGAGAATAATCCTTGTTCTTTTGGCCTAATGAACAACTTTCAGGTAAGCATCAAATTTATATTATGTGGGCATTCTGTATTTACCAAGAAGTCATACTTTAATAAAATGTGACAGGTGTAGCAGTAACTTAAAAGGTAAAATCTGAAACCATTGAAGAGCAAAGGGCCACTAAGGATAACACTTCTATAGGATATTGAAATCACACACACAGATACACACACACGTATACACATACATATGTATACACACACACACATATATATGCACTACACATATATATGTAGTGTATTACATATAGTGTACTATTTCAGAAAAAAGGAAACTTCTCACACACAGTCATATTTGTTGTATCTATCTATTTTCTGTCTATTCCTTCATAATAATACTGTACATTCTCAAAATTATTATAGTTCTACAATAAATCTTGAAGTCAAGTCTGATAGCTTATGTCATTATTCCCTTTTATCCCTTTACAGAATTGTTTTAGTTATTTCAATTCCTTTGCTTTTCCATGTAAATTTTAGAAACTTATATTTATCTATAAAAACTCTTGCTGGACTTTTGATAGGAAATGCATTAAAGTTTTATATCAACTTGGGAGAATTGACTGTTCTAATCCATGAACAAGGTATTTTTATTTATTTCCTTCGTAACCATTGGTAATGTTCAGCATACAAGTCGTGTATATGTTTTGTTAAACGTAGACCTGTTTCACTGTACTCACACAATTAAAATCTGTACTAATTAAAATTAGCTTAGTTTTCTAATTAAGGGTGTCTCCATAATTGCTTTATATATAAATATCCTCTGAAGAAGGGATTGATCAGTATTGTTATTTAATTGCCCATATTGTCATGCTATACTAAATCACCATTCAATAGCATTCTTAGTAGGTACTTGAAAGTTTGTGAACTTTTAAAAACTGTGAACATTAATATTTTTGGACACTATCGGTCCTGCTATTTATTCTTACTACTACAAGGTACTGAAAGTGAAGTGAAGTTTTTGTGAAATTTACAACTTCTTAGAAACTGAAAAAAGTGTATAAAAGGGGAGCAGGAATTACTTAAATTTGGAGAATAATGTTTAAGAGTTGCTCAGATAGTCCTAAGATTTGGGAAAGTAGAGTTAAGATGTAGATTTAGGAGATTAAAACAAAATATTATGTGGTAAATTTATAGAAGTTCTAATTCAAAGTGAAAAATAAAAATTTTGCTTCCTAGTTTTTCAAGTATTGTATAAATGTTATAAACAATATTGTATCTGGTATATTTCATAATACAAATTTTATATGATAAAATTTTCTCAATTTTAGTACTTAAAAAAAAAGACTGCATTTCCAATGGTTACAAATATTGAACTCAAATTATGTAACTGATAGAAGGTTTTTTTTTTTCTAGTCACAAGACTAGGCACATTTTTAGGAGTCAAAGAAAGTATTCATCACCAGCTAATGATTCAGGCCAGTTCTGACAGTCATATTGTGTATGAAAGACACAAATGTTGGTTTCTGCCTAGTAACTGAAAATGCCAATCAGATTTCTGTGTGGTTGCCTTAAAATGTAAAGTGTATTGTGGTGAAGCCTAGTGTAGACTCATTCAAGCAAAAGAGGATTTGGATATGTGTAAACCTCTTTGCTAAAGTGATAGTTTCTTCTTTGTAAAGGTATATCAAATGGGAAAAAAATATCCTGTATAAGACTAAATTACTTATTTAGAGACAATAGATTCTTGGGTAGCACATAACCAAGATGTATATTCCATGAAATCCATGCAGAACCACATTTTATAATGCTATTTTGTTAAAAATTGACTTTTCATACTTCAACAGGAAAAGTGATTTGAACCATCTTATTTTCTTAAATTTTTAATTAATATACTTTGTGTTGTTTTTCATTCTGTTTCTGCATTTTAATATCCTCTGAAATTTAGATTCTTGAATTTCTTACTAAACATGAGCTGTTTTGTTATTCAAATTCTTTAATAACCACATCTCACCACCTTCTCTTTAGACTGGACTCCAGTCATTGCATGTTTGTTCACACACACACACAAATACATGCACACACACACATACTTGCATGGACCCACACACTCTTTCACTCTATTCTGTACTTTTATTTGGTTCCTCACTCTGTTTGGAATGCCCTCACCTGCTTTCAAGGAGACTCAGTTCCTTGAAGATTGTCTTGAGTACAAAATTATTTTCAACACACACGTACATTTCCACACAGAAATCTTAGAATTCGTTTTATTTGCCAATTTGTTTTTATAATTTCATTATTTGTATATGTTATATATCACATGCAGTTCCCATAGCATTTCCACCAATACACCGTGCACCATCACCTCAGTCCTTTGTGCTCTCGCTGCCCGTGTTTTGTATCTTCTTCGCCCCCTCCCCTGCAGAAAGTCTCTGGATTGTAGTTGTCTGCTTATTTTGTTTAGTTTTGTGGTATTGATTTTTTTTAATAGATGTTTTTTCCCTGATCCCTTATCTGGTTCCCTATATTCCTCTTAAAAGTGAAATCATCCAATATTTTTCTTTTTTCCTTCTGACTTATTTCACTGAGCATAATACCTTCTAACTCCATCCATGTTGCCACAAATGGAATTAGCTTATCTTTTTTATTGCTGAATAGAATTCCATTGTGTGATAATCAGCAAGACTTAGAAACAACTCAAATGCCCAAAAATAGATGACTGGCTTATTTGTCAATTTTTTTTTTAAACATTTATATTTATTTATACAGAACTGGGGTACAGGCCAGAATGCGGAGGGTGAGAGGATTCATCAGAGACAGAGTGGGGAGCAGAACAGGCTGACTGACAAAGTACACTGCTGTGGAGAGCAGCGGGCGGGTCAGGAGAGGTCTGCCACACCATGTGGTCACCTCCAGGGCAGGCGGGGATCGAACTCATGCAGAAGTGGCTTTAGCTTCTCAGTGCTGTGCTTTAACCCGCTGTACCACCAGGGAGGGCCTATTTGTCAATTTTTAACTTTCTGTTAGACGTAGTGATTCCTCCCACTCCTAACTAGAGACAAGATCTTTTTTTTTTGGTCATGTTTCTATTTTCCATTTTGTAAATAAATATGTGTAACACTGATGTTGCCACTATTTACATTCATTATCGGTTCTTCTTACACTTATTTAACCATAAAGTGGTAAGAAATGTAGAAATTAGTGGGTAAATGTAAAACTAGAAAACAGGAAACTTTGCAAATTTTAGAAGCATAAATTAGAACATGTTTTACATGTTTTTACTCAGTATAAATGAAAGAGAAATCTCCATGAATGAAGTAATCTTATGTGATGGTCTTCATTCATCATTGGGAAATACATGATGATAATAGGTCAAGCCTACAATACATGCATTCATCAAACAACTATTAATTCAGAGGTGATAAGAGAAAGTATATTTTACTTAATAGTATGATAATTGAAAGGTTTTTGGGCATATATAATACTGCTGGTATCAGTATCATGTTCTCTACTCCTCTCCCTCTCATTTGTCATCTGTCTTGCATTTAATTAACTTTTGGAGGTCGTTAGTCACACTCATGGAATTTTGTATTGCCTGATAAATATATATGGCAAAAAATCAGTCTGCTTATTTTTATCTTGATCCACCACACCTGTTGTATTCTCTCTTATTGAAGACAAGGGTCAGCAATACTAGATAATCTTAGCATTAATATCTGAAAAGCTGTGATTATGAAAAAGTACAGCATATATGTGTACCTTTTTAATGTTATTAAAAGAATAACTAGAAAATCATCTTTTCAAGTTTATTTTTTTCTCCACAGGATTCTCAGAGAAGTCAGTGTTACTATTCCTTAAAATACTTAAGTGAAACAAGGTGGTTTGTGTGCACATGGTAATCAGGTTTTTGCACGGGAGACAGGGTTTTTTGCCTATTGCTAACTACATCCAGTTTACAGCATTACAGTCAGATGTGTAATAGTCATAACCACTTTAACACATAAACATTTTCTTAGCTCCCTTGGTTTTATTAGACATATTCTCATTCAATATTAGTGAAAGTTAATTCTCCATGAATGATGTGATAAGTCCATGAGATGATCTTTATTCTTTAGTGTGAAATTATAGTAGATAATAGATAAAGCTAACAGATCACCAAGATGTATTAGGAATAATGCAATGACTATTATTTTTATTTATATTTACTAGTTTCTATTTTGTTTGCCTCACTTGCTTTATATTTTTATGTTCATTTTCCTCTGCAAGCATATGAAAATTGTAGACATCACAACATAATCAGTTTAAGACATTTAAGACAGTCATTTAAGACATTCTGTACAAGAATACCATGATTCCACTCAAGTGACAATGTTGATGAAATACTGTTGTCTCAACATAAATTCCATATTCATATTAACCCAGCTGTTCAAATAGTGTATAATGTCCTTTTTTAGCCTTTTTTTTTTTTTTTTGGCTAGGTTTAGGATCCAGTTTGAGAGTGCAAGTTATAATGTTAATTTAAAATCCTTTAATCTAGAGTTCCTAGCTTTCCTGTACAGATATTTAAGGATATTGACATTTAAGTTTATGTGTTGTGAATTTTGCATTGTGTATCTCAGTTTATTAGATTTACATGATTGTCTTCTCATAACCAGATAAAGCTGATGTTTTTAAAATTTTTATCATAGGAAATGTGTAGACATTTACAAAGTCAAGGAATAATACAGTGTACCTAACGTATATTTCTCAGCTTCATCTATTATTAATATATGGCTAATTTTATTATATGTGTGTGTGTGTGTATCTGTATCCTTAGATTATTTAAAGAGAAATCTGAGATGTAGAATTTTTTGCTGAATATATTTCCACATTTAAATGTAAAAGGTATGGTCTCTTAAAAAATCTAACAGCTCTCTATAACATATTTATCATAGCCCTTTGAAATAGTCTTATTAGAAAACTTAACTCAAATGAACTGTCTAGGTCTACCTACCAGTTTATAGAGGTGAGAGGACCAAGTTAAAAAGCACAATGATGATGCAGGCAGCAGAATCCAGACTGTGATGATTTTATAGAAGAAATGATGTAGAAATGATAAAAATGTTAAAGGGTGAGCCTGCCTATTGAAAAAGACTCATCACCCAAGTATAATGTATAATTATATGGATCCTGATAGGAATACACTTTTAAAAAGTAAAAAAGGGGCAGTTTTCAGAATTAGAATATTGGACCTTTGCGTTTGAACTTTTTTTTTCAGTCTTTAAGCGGTGAACAATAGGTTCATAGTTCTCAAAAATTCTTACTCATTTCTGGGGTACAGGGGTTAAAGTATCAGCACTCTCAAGCTATTGTCAGGTACTGCTGCATGAGTCTGATCCCAGCCAGCGAGCTGACCCACATGCACAGCAGACCTCTCCTACCTGGCCTATTGGCTGCCCTCAGCAGTGTTTTTCAGTAGATGTGCTTGTTCTGATACTCATTCTGTTTCTGGTAAATTCTCTTACCCTCTGCACCTATGTCTTAGACCCCCACTTCTTTATATATATATATATATATATTTTATTACAAAAGTTTATTTTTACATCATTTTGTACATTTTTTTTCCATCTCAATTGTAATCCCTGCGGGTTTCCCATCACCAAGTCACCCGTGTGCCATCACCATAATCCCCCGTTTTTGATCCCATTCCCCACTCCACCCC